GACCACGTTTCATGACCTGTACCAAGCCCGGTGCTTTGTTAAGCTGGAATCCTCCTATGCTCCCCACTTTCCATACCTATTTCTGCCCATGGCACTCATGTGAATTGGCAAAAGTGCTGTGGGATGGAAAATATTGGAATCTCAGGGAAAAGGGTCAGTGAGTACATCCTTCAGGGCAGGATGTGGAGTCCCAAAACTGCTTCATGCCCAGCAGATCACCAAACCCTTCCTCCATGTCCCCATGCCAGCTAAAGCAACCTTGGCTGTTATGCTCTGGCCCAGGTGTCTCTCAGGGCCTTTCATTCTCCACAAAAAGCTTAGGCATAGAGGCCAGTCTAGATCCAGACACAAGGGCCAGCTGGAGAATTGGGAAGTAGAGTAATGCCTGGCCATCAAGGCTGGTACAGTTCAGCCTGACAAGAGTCTGCGGACAGTGGTCTGTTGTGAAAGGGGACGGACATGTCACCTTGAAGCTGCAGCACTTTTCTAGACCTAGCCCACCTTCTTGAACATTTCAGTCTTTTTGCATCCAGCTGGGTATATTCTGTCATATACACAAGTTGCCTTCGGCTCTGAGGCTGCTTTATAAGAACTAGTCCTGGATGGTGTTTGGTCAGGGATGAGGTTTGAGTTTGCTCAGCCCAAGCAGATATGTTTAAATTACTCTCAGATTGGATGCCTCAAGAGCCTGGCTTACTCCCCTTCTACTAACCACCTGTTTTCTACTCAACCCAAGCCAACTCACCGTTTGACTCCTTCCCACACTTTTAGAATTGTGAACTGTAGAATGCTGGAGTTGGAAGGAGCTGTAGAGACTAGCTAGTCTACTTTCTTCCTCATTCTATGGATGGGCAGACAGACCCAAGCCTTGGGGGTGATTTGCTATGAGCTTCTTACAACCTCTACATTCTACACATGGATAGCTGTATACCTTCCTGCTTCTGGATCAGAGCCTGCCCTTAAGTTATCCCCCATAGCCCACTCTTGTTCCATCAGTTGTGTCTGAATCAAAGGCTCCCTTCTCTTTATTCCTTCTATTAACAGCCTTAAAACTCACCTTCTCCAAGAAAAAGCCTTCTTTGATTAATTCAGTTCACTTTTGTGTGAGGATTTTCCAGAGAAACAGAACCAATAGAAATGTGTGTGTGTGAGATTTATTATAAGGTATAAGGTATGAATCATGTGATTATAGAGGCTGAGAAGCCCCATGATCACCTATCTGCAGTTGGAGACCCAGGAAAGCTGATGGTATAGTTCAAAGGCCCATTGGAGAGTCCCATGGGCTAGATTCTAGTTCAGTTCTGAAGGCCTAAGAACTAGAAGAAGTTCCCAGGCAGGAGAAGATGGATGCTTCAGTCCAAGTCCAAGCAATCAGACAGAGAGGGGGAATTCTCTTTTCCCCAATTTTTTTTGTTCTACTGGAACCCTTCGTAGATCAGACCATGCCCACTCACACTGGGAAGGGCAGTCTGCTTCACTCGGTCCACAACTTCAAATGCTAATCTCTTCCAGAAACATTCTCACAGGCACACCCAGAAATCATGCTTAACCAGACATCTGGACATCCTGTGATTCAGTCAGGTTGACCATAAATTAGCCATCACAATCCTCCATTCTTTTCTAGGCCGGTGGCTTGTGCTGTATTAATTTTCACTTGCCATTGTTTTTCCCCCATGAGTTCCTGTAGGATTACAGGCATACACCATGTAATAGTGTTTCAGTCAATAATGGACCACATATATGATGGTGGTCCCATAAGATTATGATGCTGTATTTTACTATATCTTTTCTATGTTTAGATATGTTAGGATACACAAATAACCTACCATCATGTTACAGTTGCCTGCAGTATTCTGTACAGCATCATGCTGTACAAGTTTGAAGCCTAGGAGCAATAGGCTATACTGTATGGACTATCTTGGTTTTGTGTAAATACACTCTATGATGTTTGCACAATGACAAAATCACCTAATAAGGCATCTCTTAGAACATATCCCCACTGTTGAGTGACACATGACTGAATTTTAATGTGTTCTATATCACTTTCATTAGTCTGGCAGCTTCCTCCATCATTCTAGGAGGCCCCAACGGTAATGGCTGTCTTGCAATCTTTATCTGGATTTTCACCCTTTGTCCAGCCCAGGGCTACAGACTCAGGGATGTTCATAGCCCAGTAAATGGGAAGTATCGCCCGATAACCAGATCACAAAGCCTCCTCATGCTGAGGCTGGGGTAAGACTTGGAGGAAGAAGAACCTTCCCTGACTCCTTTGCTGGGGTCAGTCTCTAAGGGTCAGGGCTCACCCCCTGCAGTGTAGAGACTTTGCTGCGGGACAGGATGTGAATATCCTTGATTTTTGCATGGTCAAGTTAAGTCACTTGTCCGGGGTCACAGTGACACAATCATTGCCAAACCTGTTCGTTTCACCAGGGCCCCATGGGATTTTGCCAAGTCAGTCCTCCTTTGTACTTTCTTGCTCAACTGGTGTAGAATTCTAGAATTCTCAGGCAGGAAGGGAATTCATGGCAGAGGGTGGGGTGAGGTGGAGGTCATGACATACATCCTCCTAAGCAGACACATGGACGTCAGAGGCACCAGAGGGTTTCCACATTGACCTGCAGTCACCCATTTACACATTCCTCACCTCCGAGAGTTCAGGTATTCTTGCAAATGTCTCCATTTTTGCTACTGTAGCTTATCCTGAGCCCTTTACTGTTTTTCCTGGAAAACAAGAAAAATGTTTGGGAATTTGTATATTGGGAATGGGCAGTTGTCTATGTTCATTTGTCTTAAAAAAATTATTTGAAACATTGCCCTTTAAATGGAAAAATCATTTTCATGATTTTTTTTTTCTCAAGGATGTTTCCTGCTGCCTCCTTCAGACCTACTCTTATCACTCATAAACCCTAGAGGTTCCATGGCCCAAGGAGGACAGCAGCTGGCCATTTCAGGCTATGTCCCCACATGGATCAGGACTCCCTGGGACATGATGGGAGTCTGGAGAAGGTGTCGTGGTTGTCAGGAAGTGCCACATTCACGGATATTGACTTCTGGCTCTTTCTCCATGTGGCTATGAGATGAAGCAATTTCTGAAGAGGTTTAAGATAAAAACCTTACATGTCATCCAGCCTAATCCCTGATTTTACAGGCAGAAGAAGTGGATTTCAGAGCTAGCTAGTGGCAGAGCTGTGACTCACAGGCCACAGACCTCCTGACAGGCAGTCCTTTCTCAGAGAGTTCAGCACCTTCTGTGTTTGGTTGTGCTGAGGTGGAGTTGAAGGAGGAAGCAGGGCACACCTGCTGTAGGTCGTGGGGTCAGATGACTTTCCCCAGACCTCTTGCTGTCTACTTCCCCTTTGAATTATCTCTGAGATGGGGTCTCACTATATTGCCTGGGATGGAGTGCAATGGCTCGTCATTCACAGGTGCAATGATAGTGCACTGCAGCCTCGAACTCCTGGGCTCAAGCAATCCTCCCCCCTCAGCCTCCTGAGTCACTGGGACTACAAGGTGAACCACTGTGCCCAACGACCCCTCCTCATTAACAGAGTACCAGGCAGAGTGGTGGTGTTCCACGGGACAATTCCACCACCTTCCCTGTCCAGAGAATACTACCGAGGAGCCATGAGGCCTCAGCTCCACTTGTAGACATGCCTTTACTTTTCTCTGAGCCTCTGGCCCCACCCCTAACAGCTCTGGGCCTTATTTTGCCTGGCTGTAAAATGGGGAGAATTGCCCCAAGTTCCTTGTCTTCTGCTCCAAGGCAGTATATTTTAGAAATTATTTGAGTTCCTCAGAGAGAGGATTGAGGAAAGAGACTTGTCCAACAAGAGGGCACAATCCTCACGAGGTTGGGAGGCCAGAGCATTAAAATCCAACAGCTGCTGGCTGGTGAATTATGACCCATAAGAGTCAACCTCGTGAGCCCTACTGTGTTAGACATTTTCCCCGAATTATTTTCACATAACCCTATGAGATAGGGCCTAACCTTATTTTAGTTTTACAGAGGGGAAACTGAAAGTCGGAGAGAATGCTGAAATAACTTGCCCAAGGTCATCCAGCGAAGTGGCAGAGCTGGGCTCCACACCCAAGAAGCCTGGTTCCAAGCTCCCATTCTTAGTTTCATTGCCTCCCAGACCTAGAGGCGGTACTACAGAATAGTGGTACATCTTCCTCCTGCCTCCACCTGCCCCACCTCCCGACCCCCACCAAAGGAAGGGATTGTGTGACTTGGGGATCCAGAGAGCGGGGATGATCTGTGAGATGTAGAAATAAAAGGATCAAGATCAAGTTTGGGAATTGCCGTGTCAGAGGAGTGGTTCATTTCTCTCTCTCCAAGCTGCCTAGTTCACATTCTTCACCTGGCCCACTGTTCCGTCCGATCTTGACCTCGCTAGCCTGCAGGGGACGTGTGCAAGCCCACACTCCAGCCTAGGCATCCCCTCTGCAAGGGAAGTGGTGCTGTTGTGGAACTGCAGTCCTTGCGGACTTCAATTTGTATAGAAATGACAAGCACAGAGCAAAGGAAAGTGGGGTTTAATTTTAAACTCCCACCTTCCCACCCCCAAGTTGATTTCCTGTGACACTAATAAAAGCTTCAGGGTCTCTTACTTGCATTGGTCCTTTCCACAGCCAAAGTAATTATATATACATTTTTTTCCTTAAAAGACAGTTCTCCCTCCCATTATGTATGCCTCTGGGCCTCATAAAATCTGGCCACCCTCTTCCCCGATCCGATTTACCAAATGTCAGAGTCCCACAACGCCCTGAGAAACACCACTGTCCTCCTGGAGCTCTCCCACACAGTACAAGCCTTGATTGAGGGTGTGATTCGGTTCAGAGTAGCTGGGTTGAATTTTTGTAAAGAGGTTGCCGTGTGTGCACTTTTGCCGACCTCAAAGCCACCAGAAGGAGGGAGCTGAGTGCACCTTTTTGTAATGATGACTCTCTATGATTTTCTCCATAGAGCAGTGCTTGCACACACTCACAGGAGTCCAAGAATGTGCACTAAGGGAGCGTTTCCACACAGATCTGCATCTTCCTTACCACTCACATGTGTGCACACATATATCCGTGTGTGTGCCAGTGCTTTGGGGCTCTGTTCCATGGGGTGAGTAACTTCTGCTATAGGGACCATGGATGTGGAGCCATTCTTTGGGACTACAGATATCCAATTTATTTCAAGGATCTGGAAGACTGGGCTTCCAGACACCTATGAACCGACAGGACTGCCTTTGTCTGTCATAAGGTTCCTTATTGACAGACTGCTGGCCAGGTTTAGGGGAGATAGAGGGGTCACCAGACTGGAGATGCTGAGGGTGAGTGAGGGAGTGTAGGGTGGAAAGGAAGACAAATAAACCATATCTGCATACCCCTTCCCTATCAGCTCCCATACTGATCATGGCCCATTTCTTCACACCAACAAGAGTCTTCACCAAGGTTGCTAACTGCAATGGTACAGTCCAGTGAGCTGTAGTAAAAAGGGGGAATTTATAGTAACGAGCCTGGGGTGTCTCGGAATATCCATGGGATGGAAGCTGCTGCAGGACACAAAGGGATTGGAACCAGGAGTAGAAGTCATCAGAAATCCAGGACTCAGCTTCTCGCTCTCTGAGGCCACATGGTCACTCCTTTCTGTTTTCCTTGGCAGCTTTCTCTGCATCTCTTAGCAGTTTGCAGAGGATTGCAACTACACAGCTCTAGAGGCTACCAGTCTTTAATTCAAGGGACCAGCCAAGACTGACTAGTGCTCTAAAGTCCCAAGACCAAATTACTGGGAGACAGAGACTAACAGCTCAGCTTAGGTCAGTTGTCCACTTTCTAATCAGCTGTAGCCAGGAGACCAGGGTCACATGGCTGCCAGTGGACCGAGTTCAGGGTGGAAAACATAATCAATGGTGACCCAAGTTAAATGGCTTGTCCTCTGTGAAGACTCCTGATCAATCCTATGGAAGAAGTGCCCTCTCTCCTGAATCCCCACAGCACTTTCTCTTCTTGGCATGTATTGCTTTCTATTTTGTGTTACTATTATTTTTATAAACATCTCATCCCCTCTCCCACCTATCTATAAGCAAGTTTGTTTATCTTCACATATTTCACAGCTTGTACAAAAAAGGATATATTTAATAATTATCCAGAGTCATTGATAACTTTCAGATAAATCAATTTTCAGGAACTTAAGCAACTTGGGCAAGTGTTTCATTTCACTGAATTGTCCTGGCTTGATTAAATGCAATTAATTCAACCAATTTTTATTGAGTGCCTTCTACATACCAGACTGCTGAGGACACAACGCTGAACAAGACAAAGTCCATACCCCATTGAGCTTCCAGTGTAGTGGTGAAGACCATCAATCAGTCAACAGTGTTTCCTCTAAACTAGGCTTTCAGCTGGGTGCCAAGGATAGAGATGTGTAAGTCTCCAGCACTGCCCTGGAGGAGTTGTCTCCCTGGGGGCAGGGTAGAGGTAGTAGGATTTGGGGGACAGTCACAGATGACTGGTCAGATATATTGCTGTGCAACATGACAGTATTATTAGTTAAGGGTTGGGGAAGAAGTGCTGTAAGACCCCAAAGAGAGAGTGATTTACCACCCGGAGGAGGAGGGTGTGGTCAAGGGAGGTTTTGCTAAGAACGGTGACACGTGACTGAACTTGAAGGGTGAATAGGAGTTTGCCAGGAAGAGTGAGAGTTGAGTATGTGAGTGTATGTGTGTTTAGGGAACTGGGATGGGGAAAGGAGATAGGAATGATGGTGATCAAGCCCTTCCAGATCAAATCATTTATCTGGAAAAAGATTTTAGGCATTGTGAAAGAGCTGCTGTGTCTGGAGGAAGGTGAGACATTTAGTATATCTGGAACACAAAAAATACAGGGAAAAGAATGGGGAAATTGGCCCCAGCCCCTCCTGGCCTTGTATGCTAAGTCTGGGAGGCAGTGGGTAAGTAGACACTGCCAGTTGCCCTGGGGTCTGGAAGGCAATGATGTTGGCTGGGCATCAGGACCAGGCACAGCCTGAAGACCAGCTACCTCTGGCCAGAAACATATTCCAGAAGGCCTTAGGATGAGACATTACTCCTGCCTGAGGTCATTGACCTCTGGTTCATGGAGGGAGATGGCTGGATGGTGAGATTCTGGTGAAATTTGTCACTCCCATATTGCAACCTTCCTCAGAAAGCACTGGATCTTCTAACTTTCACTCTCTCCTTAGTGGAGTGGGATTTTCTAAATTTTGCAATTGAATTTAAGAAATCAAAGAAAGTTGTCCATTTGTAGCAAAAAAAAAAAAAAAAAAAAAGGGTCTGCCTCTACACCCCTGTGTCCTTTGAATTACAAGCCTGTAGCCCATGGCCTTCTAGCCAATGATATGAGGGGGACTAGAGATGAAGGATTTCCATGGACTGCTCCTGCTCTGGAATGTTCCTCACAGATGACAGATCTACTCTCCACTGTCCCCATGTGCCTAGGCAGGGGTGGAATGGAGGCAACTTCCTGGACCTTTCCCTGGCCAGGCTCAAGGCCATTGGCACCTGGTCCTCTTCTCTTTACAGCTCTGTCTCTGTGCCCTCCCCATTCCTGGTCAGCCTCCAGCACTGTTGGCCCACCTGCCTATCTCGGACCTCTACTGCTCTGGGTCAGTCTTAGACAAACTACTACTCCTCCTTCTCTGCCTGTCCAACATCACTCATCCTTCCAGTCAAAAGTCTGTGTCTCTATAAAGGCTTCTCCATCCCACCTGAGTCAGACCCAAGAGCTCCCTCTTCTGTGCTGTCCCTGCACTTTTGATTCACTTCTGTTATTACCCCCACTTCCTTGGAGGACAGTTATTTGTTCTTATGTTCATATCGTTCTTATGTTCTTATGTTAAGTAGACTGAATTTCTTGGGGACTACATCTTAATTATCTCTGTATCCCTGGTCATAAGCAACAGTGCCTGACACATCACAGACTCTTAGTACATACTCTATTTGTCAGTGAAGGGTGATTATCTGGGTATCTTGACTGTTGGGGTTGAGGTAGGATGAAGGTAGCTTTGGGAAGAACTCCAATGAGCAGAAAAAGGGAAGGGACATTCCTGGTGGAAGAAACAGTTTGAACAAAGGCACTGCCGTGGAAAGGCACGGACAAACATGGGAGCCTGCAAGGAAGGAGGGGAAGGGGAGGCTGTAGCACAGGGTGCTCTGAGCACTGTCCTGGGCTCCTTGTGCGCATCAGTGAATGCACCAGGCCTTTGCAGAAACTTGATGTATTGGCACTGATCCGTAGAGAAGGGAACAGAGGCCCAGGAAGGTCACACAGCTCATGAGTTGGTGATGGAGATGGGATTAGACCATTCCATTAGACTCTAAAACCCATGGCTTATTGGGGCCCTAGAGAACACTTAGTAATTCAGGTTGCCTGGTGCCTAGAGTAAGTGAGTAGGTTGTGAGAGGAGGTTAAGTGTGGAAAGGTGTACATGGCAGAATTATATTATTCATAATATCTAGGGTGTTTTTTTTTTCTGCCTTCCATGTGCCAAAACCTGGACTAAGCATTTTTATATATCACCTCATCAAAACGAACAGCACCTTTATCAAGTGATTACCCTTATTTTACAGATAAGGAAACTAAATGTCAGAGAGTTCAATAATTTTCCCAAGATCACGCAGCCAATAAGTGATGGAGCCATGACTTAAATTCAGGTAGTTTGATGACACAACCCAGACTAATTGGGAAAGAGCTTCATGGGTAAGTTGTGAGTCATAACTTAATTTGAATCCCTGGTGACATATTGGAGGTATAAATTTTCCTTTTTTTTTTTTTTGCCATGGGCAAGTTCCAAGCCTGGGCTTCACTTCCAACACTGTCCCTCCCTTCCCTGTACAGTTCTACCCACTTGCCCTGTCTTCTTGCTCTGTCCTCTATGCCCACATGTATAGAATTGGATCCCCAAGCAAGGCTAACTGCTAGCCTTAAAGAAAGACCAATCTTCTGGCAGATAAGAAGGCCTGTTAAGGAAGATGAGGGGACAGGAAAGCAAGGGGAATGTCAGAAAAATAAGGGGCCTGGCCAATATCTCAAGAACAGATGCAGCAGTGGCCCTGGAAGGGCAGAGGGGATGTCATTTCCTTCTCCAGATCCCTTTTTTCCTTTGAGGTTCAGTCCCAAATGGGTAAAGTTCAAATACTAGCCTTACTCAGAATTCCCTAGTCCTGCTTGCTCAAAAGGTGGATCCTGTCCTCACTCTGATCTTCAAAACGTCTTTTTGTGGGGCTTGAGAGTTTGCCTTTTTAAAACCAGCACCGCAGAGAGTCTACACATTGAGGGTCTTGCCTTCGGTAATGCAGTTACATCCATGGGCTTTCTCTATCGCTGCTGAGAGAACTTGAAGTGCCAGGAAGTTGGGGTTGGACGCCTTCCAGTTCCTTGCCCTAATCAGAGGCATTGACCTCAGGCCCTGTGTAGGAGTCCCCATCTTTCGGAATTAGTGATGTGGTTAGAGTAGCAACGTGACTCTCTGTGGACGGAAGAAGGTAGGTCGGATGTGAGAGTCTCCCTCCATGAACATGTGTGCGTCATCTCAGTCAAAGCTTGTATCTTTACTCTCAAAAACAAGTCATTTTTGTTCCTGTCAGCATCTTGGCCAGCCCACAACAAAGAGTACAAGCTGGATGCTGTGCTGCAGTAAAGAGGCCCAGACACAGGCCTCAGGTGATCCTGTAGGGCATGGCGGGAGAGAACAGGAAAGGATTATTCCCCCAGGGGCTGATGGGGCTGCCTTCAGCAACACAAAAACATGCTTACAGAAAACTGCCAGAGGACATAGGAGTGATCTGCTTGCATGAGGTTTTTCAACCACCAGGAATGGGGTGACCTAGTCCAGAGCCCTCTAATAAAGTGACTTTCAACCTGACTGCACTTCAAAATAATCGGAAGCTTTAACAAATAGAGATGCCCAGGCCTCATCCCAGATGTACCAAATTCATCTCTTAGGGATGGGGTCTGGGACTCTGTGCAAAGTCCCCGGGTATTCTGGAATAACTAATCTGGCATTGCTCCAGGAAATAGCAGTTCGAAAGCACTCCAGTAAGGTGGGAGTGAAAATTATTCCAGCTTGAACACTACAATATTAAG